GTAGATTCTCATAAAACTGCAATCTTAAACTCTTACACTAGTGAGTAACATTTTCTTTCAAACTGCCACGGACAGGTTTCGGTTTGTGAGAGGAAACTCTTGACGCTATGATGATTCTTCCGCAGGTCGTCTCGTTCTGGTAGGCTACACCCTGGTAGGCATCATCTGTCAAAGGAGGCAGTCTCTAAAATGGGACACAGCATCTGTATGCGTCCTGCTGTCTCTCATTTGCATGTCCTCCACTCCTCCGCCCTCCATTGCACTGTGGCACTTCTGGGTCAGCCTCCCATCACGACAACAGGCAGCGGTTCAAACTTGGAGAAAGGCCGAAAACACAAGGAAGGAAGAGACAGCAGCACAAGGAAAAAACTAAAACACACATGCAAAAGAGAGAGATGGAAGACAGAGGGAGACAGAGAGGGGGATGGATGATGAGAGGAGAGGAGACATACGGACGGACACAGTCCAACAGACGGAGAGCTATGGGGACATTTGGAGGATACATGAGGCAGTTATGAACCTATTTGGTTTCTTCTACAGGAGCGCCCGAGTGTCACTAATGGCAAAGTAGGGGCTGGTAAACACATTTCTGTGACGGCACGACACTGCCAGAAAACAAATTAAACTCTCTTCTCGCATTTCACACCCTCTCAACCCTTTTCTCTCTATCTCCCTCAATTACTCATTTCTTGCCACTCCGGTTTTCCATCTCTGTCTCTCAGTCTTTCTCACTTTGGCCATCTCTCTCTTTCTACAAAACCCTCCATCTTGCTTCTGTCTTTCCCTCGCTTTCTCCTCATCCATTCCTCGCCTCGACATATCTCGTTGTCTCTCTCTCTTCCCATTTACGCTGCATACACCTAAAAATGAAAAACAGCGCCATATGCGCAGGGACGGCAAGCAGAATTGTGCTCCTGATGTTCCTGCTGAGGCAGTTAAGCGTCTCTCTGTAGCCTGCGCCCACTCCAGCCATGCCCAGGACATGTGGACAGTTGGCAGGCACAGCAGTGCTGAGCAACATGGTGGCTGCTTTCTGGCTGGGTGTACTGAGACTGGGAGTGTAATGAAGCTTCTGGGTCCTTGTGTAGTCTCGCTGCTCCGTGTACAATGGCTGTCGGAGTTGCTGGTGCAGAACGGGAGAGGTGTGCAGGACTACGATGATAAGTCATAAAGATTTTCATACAGGTTAGCTAAGACAGCCTGTGTTGTTGTGATTATTGAGGAATTTCTGTACGATTACCAATGAATTACAAATGAATCCTTTCCTCATTAAAATCATTTTTATTCTTTTTATATATGTGTGCGATCAGGGGATGGCTAACTAACAATAGTTTGATTCATGTCCCATCTGTTAACATGGAAGAGGTGGGGTTTAAAGCCTCTACTTCAGCCAGCCACCAGGTGATCGAGATGCTTTACTTTTGGGAAGCCGCTATGTCATCTGTCTTCATATACAGTCCATGGTGTGTGTGTGTGTGTGTGTGTGTGTGTGTGTGTATCTGCCACATCTCTTCACACTCATTGCCACTTGTCCTTCAACTTATCGATCTTGGAGTTACGTTTTCTTTCTTTCTTCGCTTGAAACAGGTCAGAGCACAGAGCAGGTTAATACTTTTACACTCTAAATAAAGCACTGATATTGTGTCCAGTGACCTCTGCAGTGTTGTCTATTAGATACAATAAGTTGGAGTGTACCCTCACACTGCTGTCAGGGTATTGTGAGGGCTGTAGGGTACCTCTCTTTGTTATCAGAGATCAGATGCTGCAGGTATGACGCAATTAATAGTCGACTAAAATGAAACATCCTGTTACTTTGAATAAAATAAGGGATTTCTCTGGGTTTGTTGGAAACATTGTTGGATAATGTAAATGTAAAATTTCCACATATTTTAATGAATGATTCTTACGTACTCTATCTTTAAAAAGATTTTTACAGCTTCTAACTATTCCAAGTAAAATTCATTCATCATTGAGTTATTCTACAGATAAAAACACATCACAATAGTGCTCCTGTTCTCTTTGTACCTTAAAACAAAACTCAAGTGCTCGACTTGATTTGACACAGCTGCCATTAGCTTCCTACCCTCCCTTTTCCTCATTTCCTAACTCCATCCCTCCATCGCCCCCTCACATCACACCGCACATGCATTCTGTTATCGGGGAAGGCGTGAGAAGAGTGTGCTGAACACTTACAGCGTTAGTATGTGGTGTGTGTTCCACTATTTAGCGAGGTGACACTTTGGATCGACCATGCGCTACTACAGGGGCTGATGCCGGTGTGTGTGAGGGGTTGCATGGGTCAGTAAGTCACTAAGTACTGCTGAGGGAGAGCCAGCAGGGGGTTGCTGATGTTTACAGGGGTCCTCGCTGACACCTATACTGAATTGATGGTGTGTGTGTGTGTGTGTGTGTGTGTGTGTGTGTGTGTGTGTGTGTGTGTGTGTGTACCCTCTTCCTGGACTTTAATTCTTCCGAGGAACATCAGTAACAGACCAGAACACTCCCATCTGCCACTGCTCTGTCCTTCGACTCCGAGCCTTTTCTCTCTCCTTGTTTAATCATCTCTAAGCTTCTTCTCCTCCATCCCCTGGCAGTTTACAATCAGTGGCACCTATTTTTGTAGTTATGGATGTGTTTTGTTTTTTCTTTCTTTCCTAAAAGATTCATCCACTCGTTAGTTTCTCTTCCTTTTTTTCTATTTCCTCATCTCCTCATTCTGTCATTCTCGCCACCTGTTCTTCTTGACGCCTCTCCGTGTACTGTTTCCCTCCCAGTGTGATGCCATCCGCCTCTACAGCACACACATTTAAATACCTTCATTTATGTTCACATTTTAAACTTAAATATACAGTCATATTCACACTACTGCTGACACCTCGTTTTTTTTCTCTCCTTCCTGCCCGTCTCATTCTTTCTGGTTTTTTCCCTCTGTGCTGCACACTCACCCTGCCTCCAGTGCGCAGAATAGTAAAACTGAAAACAATAAATGTTATCACGACAGCCACTGAATTCGGAGAGATAAGAAATTCATTAGGCGCCAGCTTGCTAATGACGTGCAAAGAGATGAATTTGCAAGGACAAAAGGCGCGTGGTAGGAAGAGGAAGGAGAGGAAGGAAGAGATGGAATTAAAAGGGGGGGAAAAAAAGGATGTGGGGGCGAAAATGTTCCCCAGGATGCAACATCATATCACGGCATGGCAGCTCGATTGGCTTGTGACCTCTGCGAGTCAAAGAATTAAACGAGTCCTGACTTTCTGTCTTTCAGTTCGTGTTTCTTTCTCTCTTCCTCCCTGTCTGACGTTACTCACCAAACACAACCACAGGGAAATCCAGGTTGAAACTCGGAGCAGTGACGCTCACATTCTCTTACCGCTCACGTGCTACTCAAGGTCAGTCTGAGAGTAGGTCTCCATTAACTAATAATGGACGTTCACAAGCAATTGCAAGAGTGTGAGAAAAGGGGGAGCTGAAGCCCGGCTGTTTCTTGAGGGCTGTGACCCACCTGCACTTTCTATTGACAACAAAACATCAGAGATACGTATAACAGACATAATCCTCATGTCAGTGACACACACACACACACACACACACACA